ATCTACTGATCATTCCCTAGTCAAGCGCAAGCGGACTACGCCCTGAACCGAGGGATGAGGATTAATCTGAGTCCGCGTTTCAGTAGGCGATTGCTGCTGGGGTACGACATCTGGTGCCAGTACGGAGTGCACTTGCTTGAGCGCTTTCTCCGCTCAGAGCACCTGTCTTGGCCGGACTACCTTGAAGAGCTGACGGGTATTGTGGGTGCGTGGCACATCTACGCGCATGTCCGGGAGTGCTTCGGGCGTTTCTCGGGCCTGTACGTCTGGGGCGTCGGGTTCATCGAGATGGAGATCCTTGAGACCCTCTGGTCCCTTCTCAACATGGTCACCGAGGCAACCCGTAACATGTCGCGCGCCAACAGGGAGGAGACGATAAACTTCCATATGAACGAGATTAACCTGAGGAAGAACCAGCGCATGAGTAAGTCAAAGTTCGCCTCTGGTCGGGATCGCGTCGGGAGCCACTCCGTCGGGACGGAGTCGGGGGCGTCGGGACGTGCCTTCCCGACATGTCGAAGTTTATCCTCGCCCCAATTCGCACATATATGCGCCGTATACTGACATATCGTTTAGTTCCGTCCATTGTGAAGAAGTGGAAGAAGCAAATGACGGCCAGAATTGCTCGCGAAGAGCTATTGGAGACCCTTGACAGGTCTTGCACCAAGGAACGTCGGGACGTGTGGTCTCTTCAGCTGCAAGAGGTCTATCGCCGGCGATCTATAGATCTTGCTCACCCCGAGCTTTACGATGCTAAGTGGATGGACGAGTTTTTGCAAAGCTCATTCCAAGGCGCGTGTGTGTCCAAAGTCCCTCTTATTGCAGGCTCACCTTCCCGACAGCTCCCGACCGGAAGCTCGTCGAAGAAGCCCTGTTAGCACGCGAGACTCAGGGCACGTCCGAGCCAGGCCTCGTGAAGTTTATCGCCAGTGGCATTCAGATACAAGCAGAACAGTGTGTATTCCCGCCGTTCATGCTCTTGTGTCGGCTTTTGACGTTGCTCAGGTTGAGCTGGCAAGCTTTCGAAAGGAACAACACCCCCCTCTCCGCCTCAAACTCCAAGAAGTTGACTACCGCTCGCGCTCAGCTCAAGTCGCGCATCACGAAACACAACAAGCGCGCTACAGAGCTTCTGGGTCGCCGTTCGGACATCGAAGAGTACCAGTTTGTCGATGACACCTTGTTTACGGTTGGCGTCCGACTTACGGACCTCATGACGGAGGAGGAATGGGACACTGGCTCTTCCCGAGCGTCCCGAGATCCCAGCCAACGTCATCCCGAGTTTTACGGCCTCGACTTGGCGTCTTCACGACCGATGCCTTTGCAATCGGAGCTTGAAGCGCTGGCTGGCGCTTACGAAATCGCCTTGCTCATATCCTGGATGCAGCATCTCTTGCACGAGATTTGTATGAGCCTAGTTGTTCAAGTCGAGATCTTCCGGAGGACTATTCGGCGGACTCCAGGCGGCAAGGGCTTGTCGCAGAGAGAGAAGGCGGTCACCTCCGTCAACTTGCGCGAGCAGTACCAGTCCGTTCGTCTCTACGCCCAGCAATACAACGTGTTTTACGACAAGGTTAAGATCATGAAGGCCGCCCCGGGTGTCACGCAGCATCCAGAGTACCTGGCCAAGCAACAGAGGGCGTTCGGTCGGTACAGAAGACTTACAAAGGATGATATCAAGAGCGACTGGAAGGCCTACGATACTATGGGCAACGGCACGTTCAAACTCCCGTGGTTTTGGAAGCTCAACGCTCGGGACCCGGATATCTCGGACGAGAACTTCATTCAAGACTGTGAGTCGCAAGTGCACACCCATCGACATAAATTCTAACATATCAAATCAGTCTTTCGTATTCGATGGATCAATGCTCGCGCTGCGGTTGACCGCAGCAACGAAGAACTAGGGATCTTGCGTGTTGAAATGGGCCTGGTATACAGGGGCTATCGGGGATTGGCAGACGTATGGGAAAAGAGAGGCAGACTACTGGAGGGTATTGCCGGTCGTGAAGCTCATGCAATGCTAGCCTTTGAGAAAGAGGAGATATGGACTGAGTACGCCGTCCGGGCGCGGCACGAGTTCAATTCATTGGTCCCTGGTGTTATAGATTCACATGTTTTCCCTGCCTGAGCACGCTTACAACAGTAGTATATCAATGTGATTCTATTTTAATTGCATATATCATTCACGGCGAACAGGATATCTAGTTACTGAAAGTTGGGGCGGGGATCGCGAGA